TACCATCCCTTGCTCCTTTAGGGTTTCATTGTTATTTGGTGATGATTCTAATCCTAAAAGATATACCTCCTGCTTTCACCAGATGTCTGAGATGGCAAAATTTGAAAGGAACAAGAGAACAGAGAGTTAATCCTTCCTACTGCGAAAGGTGGACAATGCCAGGGTTAAAATACCACATGCATCTTTGAGTTATTACCTATACCCTCCCAAATGGAAATCCTTAAACCTTGATCGGAATCCATTATGTGTTGGGTTGGGGAACCTAACTGAAACAGTTGGAGGGTCTTGCCTTTTCTAAGCTCATCAGTAGGCTTTTTCATCTTCCCTATGATGGCAGCAGCTTCAAGGAGTGTTCAGTCTCCAGTGAAGGAAACTTTAAGATTTATTCCACAATTTCCCTTCCCCATAGAGTAGCTACACACTGTATAAGACCAAACAGGAAAAGTCTGCCATAGGGGATACAGTAGGTACTTGAATACTTGTGGGCAGTCTGACCAGCTACAAACCTCTTATCGCCTTACTTGCAAGTCCTAATACAGTACTGTAGTTATTATAATTCCATCATTCTGAAATTAGAAAGATGGTCATGAAAAAAACTGTTCTTTCTAAGAATGCTGTTCACCCAAGAATGCTGATTTTATTAGAGAAGTTTTTTTTGGGGGGGGTTACGAGTTATGTATTCTTTCAACTTCTCTGAAGTGCTTAGTGCACACACTCTCCCCATGGTGTTAAATAAACTTTTTAATAAAACAATGATTAGGCAGCATGATGAAACTTTTCCTCTTCTAGCTTTTCGAGATTAAGAAATCTTTTCAAAATATTACAGAAACTGCACTTTATCCTAACTTACAGCCTTAATGTTTGAAGTAGCAGTGTATAAAATTCACACCCAGTTATAGACTGAGTAATTATGGTTGCTATGGTAATGGGCTCTGTGCCTATGAGCAAAAAAAAAATAATTCCTTTTGTGCAAGATATTTATGACTATGCCTGGCTACATAGCAAGAGTATTTTCCTTTGGTTTTTCGTTACAGTAATTTATGCACTTAGGCAGATGATCATATATATATATATATATATATATATATATATATATTCTATAAATTCTTAGGAAGAAATAAAATAAATTTATTAAATTTTTCACATCAAACATTTCTAATATGATTATAATATGGATTTAATTTTCAAGTCAAAATAATCCTTAAAGGATTTAATTTCAAATAAGAACTACAGTAAAAAAAAAATAGATTCCATCATGAGGAGTTAATTTTCATTGTATGACATGTATAGTACACACATTCCAACTCCTTTAACAAGAATTTCTGGTATGCCTTAAAGGGCCATAGGTGGTTAGAGAGAGATCCCAAGACAACAGTTCAAAATTAAGAGTTTAAAAAGCAACAATCAAGACACATATGCTCCCAAGTGAATTTGAATTGATGGAAGACTAAGTTACCAGATCATTTTGCTATCTAGAGGTGCTTAAACGATGGACACTGAGAAGAGAGAACAGACAGAACTTGGCAACAGATCTTGTGAGATAAATATCCCAAGAGTATTGAATAAAAGCCGGGAGAGAAAGGGGAAGGGTTGTAGGTGTGCTAGCTCTGACGGCTGTTCTTTCACCCTATGCCTTTAAAACAAAGGGAAGAAAGGAGGTAGAAGTAGGGTATGGAGAGCTGATTTCTGGCTTTCCCTCCCTGTTTCTCTTTGTTAATGTATACATATACATTAACATGTATACATGTTAATGTAAAAATGTAAATAAAGTAAACATGTCTATTTTTGGTTGCTGATGACATAAAGTTCACCTCTATTCCTTGGAAGCACTATTCCATGTTGTGAGCTAAAGGGGATTGCACTGGTCTTGAAGATAATAAATCTGTTTGTTTCAAAGCTTTCAACAATTTATTGCTGTGTTTCCAACACATTTTCACATATGGTATAATATTTAATTTGCAAAATAAATCCATAAAGCAGGAATTATTAACCTAATTTTGCAGATGAGAAAACTAAGGCTTCAACTTGTTCAAGGTCAAAGTCATAAGGTCCATCTCACTGTAGCTCAATGAATGAGTCTCCCATTTTTACTTTTTCAATTCATGTACAAGACAATGTTACAATCTACTGTTTTATGTTGGTTGTATGAATTTCAATACATTTACTGTTAGAAATAACAAAAGGCCTTAGACTGCCAGATTCAGATCAACTCTACTTAATTCATAATACAGATGAACTCTATTATAAGTTTAATAACGATGCGGAGATTAGCCAGAGGTATGATGTTGCTGATCCTCACTAATGAACATAAAATAAGAATTCACTCTTCTTTTCATTTGAATTTATTTCTACTAAAAGATACGGATTATTTTTCTTGATTTCTATCCAGGCCCCTTCTGAAGGAACCTGGTGAACTCTAAATTGCTACTAAATCTTCAGTCTTCCTGTATTGAGCAATAAAAGTTACTGCTAATTATAATAAGAATTAGGAGGAAAATTTTATTTAAATGCTTCATGGAAAGTTAATTTTCATTCAATAGAAAAGAAATAAAAAATCTGCTTCAGACTGTTTGATTTCTCTATTAAGTGATTTACCCTAACTAGTATATCGTGATTTTGAATATTAAAAAAGAAGTTACAATTTTCCAGAATATTAAAGTTTATTATTTTGAAAGCAAGTAAAATTCTCCAGCAGTAAGATTAATAAAACAATTCCTTAAAATTATCATCAGATAATCCCATGCTTTCAAATGTGTCTGCTCAAAGCTGTCACTCTATGAGCAGCAAAGCTTTGTTTTACTTGATCAAGAAATGAATGTGACTTTATTATCTGCATTCAACCATGAACAGCTGCTCATTAATAAAAATCTATTAAAGTTCAAGTCAGAACAGCAGGTCTAAAATTGTGTTTAAGGAAAAAAATCCCACCCTTTGGTGAAAAGCCAGGGAAATGGGTTGGGAAAGATCTCGAACTAGAGGGCTGTGTTTGCAGTCTGCTCCTACCTCCTGGGCCAGGTCAGGTGACAAGGCTGGAGTTAGCCCCAGCTGGAGAACTCAGAACAAAGCCTTTGAAAGTGGAGGGTAGGCTTTGAAAGTGGAGGGTAAGTGGTGGGCTGGAGGCTGACAGTGTGAGTAAATCAAGCTGGTGATTGGGCAGAGGCTGATCAGAAGCTTTCAAGTGGGCAAAATGGTTTGGACACAGAGCAGGCAGAACTAATTCTATTCCACTGTGTAAAAAGAAGTTTATATACGAGGTTCTATCCTTATCTTCCTCTCATTTGACATTTGGTGATTCCCCACCCCCACCCCACACAAGCTTTGGGCAGAAGACAGGAATTAAAGTTGCTTGTTCCCAAGAAGTGGTCCCTAAACCCAATCCCAAATTATTGCCTTGTGATCCCAGTCATGGGCTTACTATTTAACAAGTAGAGATAATTTTAAATTATTATTTTACAGGTAATTCTAAAGTAAATCTTAAGTTTGCAGTCTTTAGTGAGCTTTGTTTTCTGTTTTGCTATTGTGTTGGGAAACAAGTACTCAGTAACTAGCTGTTTCTGAAAAATTATATACCTTTCGTTTTGTTTCATTTGGAAATGGCAAATTTAAGAAAGAAAGCTGAAGAATAAAGAAAAAGAAGGAAATATCCTGGGGCATAATAAATCATTTAAAGCAAACATGTAACTCTTTAAGAAAAAAAATTCAAAACATGTTTATATTCAAATATAGCTTATTGGATTTGTTTCTGTTTTTATTTATTTATTTTTGTTTGTTTGTTTTTTGAGACAGGTCTTGTTCTGTCTCCCAAGCTGAAGTGCAGTGGCCCAATCACAGCTCACTGTAGCCTTGACCTCTTGGGCTCATGCAATCCCTCCCACCTCATCCTTCTGAGTAGCTGGGACTGCAGGCACGGGCCAAAAAACCGGGCTAATTTTTAAATTACTTCTAGAAACGGAGTTTCGCCCCGTTGCCTAGGCTGGTCTTAAACTCTTGGGCTCAAGTGTTCCTACTGCCTCGGCCTCCCAAAGTGCTGGTATAATAGGCCTGTGCTACCATGCCCAGCTAGAGAATTGGATTTTTTTAATCCAAAAAATTTTAGAAATTTTAGATTGGGATTTGAGGATTAGAATTCTAGAGATTAAAGTTAAAGCAGGTGTTTAAGGGACTGCCAGGGGCTGCATGGCCTTTGGGAAATGCAGGTACCGGAAATGATACTGTAGTAGCGCAATAGCAGTAGTGCAGTAGTGGTAGTAGCTGAGGTAACAACTATTATCTACGAATGTTTGCCATGTGCCAGGCTCTGTGCTAAGAGAGCTTTGCAAGCATTACTATTCCATGAAGTAGGCACTATTATGGCCATTGTACTGATGAGGAAATTGAGGTGAAGAGATTAAATAATTTTATCCAACTTTACACAGAACCATTCCAGAGCACGAGTCATAAACACATCCTTCCCTTCCTGGAAATTAAATTATTAATAAAAATGTGTTGCAAAATGAAATGAGGACGGTGGTGGTAGATTATCACAAAGTTAAGTGCGTAGGGGGTTGCTGGGTCAGGGTGGGAGAACAAAGGCATTTGTAGCAAAAAAAAAAAAAAAAAAAGAAAAGAAAATTTAAAGGCATATAAAGAAAAAGGCTGGTTGAGGAACAATTTGCATAAACTGATTTTAGCCTTAGACCATATTCACTTCTCTCACCACTTTGCAACCGTGGAGCATAGTGTTCTGAGGATCCCTTGCACATGATAACTGAGGACTCGATCCCTTTCATAGCCTACAAGATAAAAAGAAGAATCAGACTGCAAAGAGAGAAGCACTGAAGGAAAGAACATCTCAGGTTGAAAGAAGGGCAAATCCAAGGTGCGTGTGAGGAACAAATGCATGGGCACGGTCAAGTGCTACTTCTTAATATCTAGTTAAACAAATTCAATTAAAAATTACTAGGAGGAGGCTACGTCCTGAATGAAACTCATTATTCCGCATCTCTGAGGCGGCAAAATACCTGAAGGGAAGGGGTCTGCTAGCCACGTCCAAATCTTCCCGAGACAGAGGGAGATCCCTCATTTGTTGCAATGTAAAGTTTTTTCCTTGGTCGCATCTGACAGAGGGGTTCTGTGGGCTGAAAAGAAAGAGGCTCGGCTGGAGGGGAGGCACTCCGGAAGGAGAAAGTTGGGACGTCTAGCATAACCAGGCGCTCGGAAAAGAAACAGTCAAAACAGCTCGCAATGGTCCCAAAAAGCTGCCCCTCACCGAACCGGGCGTGCCTGTGGCCGCCTGCCCCGCTCCCGTCGCTCATTGGTTCCCGGTCCCGACGTCCGGCCCGTAGCCTCTCACCCATTGGGCCAGCCGGGACGTGGGGTGGAGCGCAGAAGTGAGGGCCTGGAGACCGCCGAGAGCCGCCTTAAAGGATGGCGAAGGGGGCGGGGATAGAGGCGGGGCTGGGGGCGGGCTTCCCGAGGAAGGGGCGGCCATGGCAGCTGCGCGGCGGCAAAGCTGGCTGCGACGGAGCTCGCGCCCGGCTTTGAATGAGCGGGGCTGGGAGTGAACGGGCGGAGCGCGAGCTCGAGGAATAGACTGGCAGCGCCCGTGAGCGCGCCTTGTGCGCGCGCGCGGCCCGCGGCAGCTCGGAGCCTCCGCCGGGCGGGCGGGGAGGGGGAGGGGCAGGTGAGTGTGTGCGGTTCGCGCGTGCCTGCGAGGGACTTTCCTCTCCCTACCCCCACCCCGACCCCAGCCCTAGGCTCCGGGGCACCTTCTGCCTTTCGCCGTGGGCTCTTCGCCTGGTCCTGTACTTCCCGCCCTCCCACCTTCCTTTTGCCCCTCCACCCGACCTCCCCAGACCCCCCACCGCTGCTCTGGCGTACTGTTTCCGGGTGAGGGTGACCTCTAGGGTGAGAAAACTGCGACTGGGAGCGGGGACCCGGGCGTGCAGCCTTCGCCATGCCCCGCTCACGCGTGGGAGACCGGCCTGCGGGGTACCGGCCCGGAAAGCACCCAGCCTCCAAAGCCGCCTTCCTCGGGGAAATTTGCGCGACCTTACTGCCCTCGGGCTACAGGCCTCGTACCTCTCCAGGCCGATTTTTCCGCTGTTTAAATCCTTGTCCACCTGGCATCCAGCTCCAGCAACTTAGAGCGTTTCACGTCACGCCGGGCGCAAGGCGTCGGCTTGTATGATCCGAAAACGCTCCTGTTTTTCTCATCTGTGCAGTGGGTATGATGTTTTTTGTTTTTTTTTTTTTCGTCAACCAGTTTCACGTGGGTAATCTGAAATGAAACCACTTTAGTTATGAAACTCTTTCCTTTTGAGTTATTCAGGAGACCTTACTCCGCCTTCCTAACCGCCCCGGTGGTGTCACAGATTCGAAGGCCTGACACCCGGTTGCCAGACGTGGTACAGAATGTTCGATTTTACTACCGCTCTCACACTTCTGCTTCTGTTTCCCCTTCTCCTACTTGCTGCTGCCAAACCTTTATTTTTCAAATTTAAGTGAGTTCAGGTAAATTTTATTTTGGGAGCTTTGTGGCGTTTTCTAACCCACTTCAGAGTTACAGTTTGAGGATATTCTGCACTGTACTAGATCATATGGTTTTTCAAATTTTGGTATGAAAAGATTTGGAAATAGTTTAAGAAATACAGCACTTGTTTAGTGTGTACTGACAGGGATTTTGGCTTGGCTTGTTCTATGAATGGTGATGTATTGAAGCTACTTGAAAGGACGTCTAGCAGTTTACCGAGAAATTTCAACAAGAAGAGATAAAATACATTTGATCTGTCCGTTTCTAATGTAGCATTCTTTTTTTTTAATTGTAGGAAATTTTTTTTCAATTAGCATGGTACAACTCTCATTCCTGTTGATTTCCTAGATATGTCATTTCTTCAAAAGCCTTAATGAGGATACATTGCTTCATAGTTTTGAATCTCATTCTGCTATACCTCAAATTTTTGTCTTTGTAATTTTTAAGGAGATTTAATGTTAAGATTAGGTTATGTTAACATCTCTCAGCTCTACAAAATGTTTTAAAGCAACCAAAGTGTAAAGTGGCCTAAGATACTTACCAAATTGGTGATCTGGAGGGCATTTCAAAAATCACACTGAAGCAATGTGTACACAATTAAAAGGTTTCTTAAGTAGAATATGATATGGGGAGGGCCTTGGGCTTTGGGGTCAGTCTCTTTAAATCCTGGGTGAGTGAATCTAAATCTCACTGTCAGCCTCATTTGTTAAACTGGAGTAGTGAAAAACTTACCTCTTTTGGTTGTCCTTAGGATTCCAGCGAGGTGATCGAACATTGTCTTGAATGTTCAAGTGCTTAAGGAATGTTAATTTCCTTCCATTCAACAAACATTTGAGTACCTACTGTGTGCCCGGCTTTGGCTGAGACCTATAAATACCAGAATGAGCAAGACTAATGGAGGTCCTCACTCCTTAGTTTCTTGCATTCCTCAGGAATAAGTTTATGGGCAAGCTGTTGACACTTGAGAGTGAATGCGTGGGTTCTCATACGGGGTTGGTAGTATTTGCCAGCTTCCATATCCAGAGTAGCAACTGAAACATAGTAGGTGCTAATATATATTCATTTAGATGAATCCGAACATTGAGTAAACACAGGTCCCCAAGAATATTCCTGCCTGCCAGTTAGTGTAAAATCAAAGTGTGGCTTGATCACATTTTCCCTTTTTTAGTGCAACTTGTTGGAAAATTTATCTTGGAAGTGGTAGCATCACTGAATTATTAAGAATACTTACTGTTAATGAGATGTTCTTGGCTTCTGAATTAAATAGACCTAGGTTTAAATCAAGTCATTGGATGTAGGAACATGAGAACACATGCTTACTCTGTGTTTAATTCTGTGAAACAAGGACAATAATATCTGTCTCATAAGATGCCTTTTTGAATTAAGTGAGTTAACATTTAGATAGTGCTTGGTCCATAGTAGACAGTCAATGATTATCAGTTTTCCTCTTTTGTTAATCACAAAAGAAAATTTTCCACAGAATGAGGATATTTTTGATTGCTGGGGAGAGAATTCTATTCTGCAATCACTAACAGACTCAGTTTCTATTTTTTATTGGGGAAAACAAAGCTTTAAATTTTACCTCCAGTTACTATAGAAGTCATTCAAGTTGATAAAAATTTATTAAACGATGACACTAATAATATTTTGAAAGTTGATGGCTGTGTTTACCAGGGCTGTATATGAAATTTATTCTCAACTCATCATTCATGTATCTCTTAAAATTGACAGTCCTAAATGGTAAATATCTTCTTTGTTTACCGCATCCTGATAGAATAACTCCTTGGTTTTATTCCCTTACTTGCCAAATACCACATGTTCTATAGTCTCTTTTCTGGCTTTTTTTCCTGATAATTTTTCTGAAAATTTGGGCAAATTTTCATTTGAGAAAGTTTGCTTTTCTTTTGGTTGAGAGTTTTGTTCTTAACAAATCAGATTTAAATGAATCGGCTATTCACCATCTTAATTTTTCAGATCATTCTCATAATGAAGCAATCAAACTTTTTTTTCAAGTCTTACTTTGCAAACGGTAACTGAAGGTACCAAATGAATAAAATACTCTGGAGAAGGGTTGTGCAGGGCAAAGTAAGGTATAGAAATAACCATAGGGCTGGGTGTGGTGGCTCACGCCTGTTATCCCAACACTTTGGGAGGCCAAGGCTGGAGGATCACGAGGTCAAGAGATCAAGACCTCCTGGCCAACATGGTGAAACACTGTCTCTACTAAAAATACAAAAATTAGCCAGGTGTGGTGGCATGCACCTGTGGTCCCAGCTACTCAGGAGGCTGAGGCAGAAAAATCACTTGAACCCAGGAGGCGGAGGTTGCAGCAAGCCAAGATTGCGCCACTGCACTCCAGCCTGGTGACAGAGCAAGATTCCATTTCAAAAAAAAAAAAAAGAAGAAAGAAAGAAAAAAGCATAATACAAAATAAGAAATGTTGCTTCTCAGAAAGAGTAAAATGATAGAAGAAGACTTTACAGTAGTCCAACAAGAGATAATAAATTATGCTAGATAGATTACAGTGGAAATAAGAATTTGGGCAGTACTGTGATATTTAATAGGGTGCTTTTGGCAATTAGGTGTAAGGAGATAAGAAAGGAGGTGTCAGCATTGTTGCATGATTTGAACCTGAGTAAACCAGTGGTAGGGATGTTTTTGACAAAAGTATTTAAATTAATTGAGTAAAATTTTTAATATTCTTCTGGTTCATTTTCTTCTACAGACATGGTTCTTTTCATCCTCTCAATTAGTAGGCCACTTCTAGGCTACGCATTCAGTAAATCATTCAGCTCTTGTGGAGAAACAGCCTCCATATGCACAAAAGCACATGAGCATTGCTAAGGGAACCTTTTGGAGCTCTGTCATTATGCCTTACTCGTCTATAAGCCCCTTCTGACCCTAGTAATAGAAAGGAATAGTGCATGTTTTGCCTTTCCTTAGTAGAAGGAACTGGCAGTGATGACTACACAGAGCAACAGAATCAGATACTATGAGAGTTAAGTATGTATTTCTGGCTTTCCGATTTTGTTTTATTCTTATTTTTTATGTGTTTGTTTGGAACTTTTGTATTGGGGGATAGCATACAAACAGTACATACAGTCAAGTATGTGATATTACTACCCAGATTGAGATATTAGATCTTAGCTCTCTAATGCTTCAGTATGCCCTATCAGAGACAACCATTATTTTTTTACTATATAATTTTTAACCCATTCAGTGTAATATTTTATTAGGTGAAAAACTACATTATGTGCTTTTTCAAAACTTTAGGAGGGAAGTGATTGTTATATCTAGTAATTAAAAATAAAACTGAGTGCTCTCAGCTTGAATCCCCATGAAATGCATTTTTAGAAAGCATGGGCTGGGCATGGTGGCTAACACCTGTAATCCCAGCACTTTGGGAGGCAGAGGCAGGCAGACAACTTGAGGCCAGGAGTTCGAGACCAGCCTAGCCAACATGGCAAAAACCCATCCTTGTTAAAAATGCAAAAAAATAGCAGGTGTGGTGGCATGTGCCAGTAGTCCCAGATTTGGGGGTGGCTAAGGCACAAGATTGGCTTGAATCCAGGAGGCAGAGGTTGTAGTGAGCCAAGATCATACCACTACACTCCAACCTGGGTGACACAGCCAGACTGGTCTCAAAAAAAAAAGTATGTTACAGTACAGGGATGGTGTATTTATCCAGAATGATTTTACTCCTTATGTTTAAAAATGTTATTGCTTATGTAATGCTCATGTAAGGTAATTAAAAAAAAACTAATCAGCATTTCAGTTTTAAGGAGTATATAGCTGTTCCTTTAATGTGGTCATATGATAATTATTACTTGAGTTAGGTTTTATCCTTTTTAAAGTAAGTATGTGTAGAACCGAAGTCCAAATATAAAGATTATGCTTTTTTATTTTGGAAAAATATCAAATTATTATGCTTTTTCTTTTTGTTTTAAGAAATCAGTACTCTAAATAATTAATTAAGTGCTGTGATTGTTTCTAAAGGTTTTACTAATGGATTGAGAGGCCAATCTGTTTTAGTTGTGATTTTGTTATTAGCTGGTTGTTTCACCTTGAGCAGAACCGTTAACCTCAGTGTATCTTAGTTTCTTCATTTAGAAAATTTAAGAAGTTGGATGACATATATTCTCCAGCTATTCCAATGACTGGAATCATGATTCTAAATACTTAATAATTCTCCTCCTTTGACAAAGAAAAGTCAAGGAAAAGCTAAAACATGAGATTTCATGATCACAAACGTCATTCCAGTAAGTGTATGCACAAGTGCACATACATGTGTGTTTGCCTTTGTATTTCTTATGACTTGATTTAACATGTGGTCTATTCTACCTCTCAACAGAGGAAAAATGACTATCTCTTGTGTATTAACAGATTTTTTCTCTCTTTTGTGTTTATTTTGAGACTCGTAGAGCATTGTTGTAGTTACTTAAGTATTCAACTTTAACCTGTGCCAAAACTCATCTTAAGAAATTTTTTAAATTAAATAGTGATTACTAGGGTAAATATATGCAATACAAATATAGTATAGGTGACTGAAATGTGTAAGAAAAATTTGTAAGTAATAACCATGTTTCGAAAGGCTACCAAAGCTGGGAGTGGTGGTTCACACCTGCAATTTCAGTACTTTGGGAGGCCAAGGCGGGTGGATCACTTGAGGTCAGGTATTCGAGATTAGCCTGGCCAACATGGTGAAACCCCGTCTCTACTAAAAATACAAAAATTAGCCAGTGTGGTGACGGGCATCTGTAATTCTCAGCTACTTGGGAGGCTGAGGCAGGAGAATCGCTTGAACCTGGGAGGCAGAGGAATGCAGTGAGTGGAGATCACACCACGGCACTCCAGCCTGGGCAACAGAGCAAGACTGTGTCTCGAAAAAAAGGCTACCAAAACAATACCAGTTTTACCATTTTTAGAATCTTTATTCCTATCACTGCCATGGCTTAGTTTTCAATTCCTATAGCATATCTTTTGTAAAGACACATATCTTGTTATTTAATCGTAGGAAGGCAATATGAGTGTGATCTTTAAGGACTCTAAAACACTGCAACCAGACTATCTGGGTTAAATTCCTCTTCTATCAGTTCTTTGTCTTTGGGCAGCTTACTTAACCCCTCAGTGTCTTAGTTTTCTTATCTGAAGTAGGGACAAAATAGTACTTGCTTCAAGTCCTTCCCAGGGTTGTTGTGAGCATTAAATGAGTTATTACATGTTAATCACTAAGAAGAATGCTTTTTATATATTAATAGTAAGAGACAGATATTTCAGTATATTGAAATACTATTGTGAAATCAGATTTCTGTTCCTAGAGAAGTTCTGAAATTATGTTTCTTATCACTAATTGTCTTAGTTTCCTAATGGAAGTTGGCTCTCCAGAAAGTAACAGATAATTGATACAAGGTAATCATGGTGTTGACTTTTTAAATAATATTCTAACCAGAATATGAACAATAGCCTAATATGTGACATAATATTGTTCAAAATGTCTTTGTGTAGATTGTTTTAACAGCTCTTTTGAACTATAATTGAAATGCAGTGAATTGCATATATTTAAAGTATATAATTTGATTAGTTTTGATGAATATATATACTCTCACCTATAAAACCATCACAACAGTTGAGGCAGTGAGTATATCCATTACCTTCAAAAGTTTCCTCATGTCCCTCAGTGACTCCTCTCTTCCCCATTATAAGGCACTGCTGATATTTTCTATCACCATATGTTTGTTTATAATTTCCAAAGCAAGCTTGTCCAATCTGTGGCCTCTGAGCCTCATGCAGCCCAGGATGGCTTTGAATGCAGGCCAATATAAATTAGTAAACTTTCTTAAAACATGAAATTTTTTTTGTGTGATTTGTTTTAAGCTTATCATCTCTCGTTAGTGTTAGTGTATTTTATGTGTGGCCCAAGACTCTTCTTCCAGTGTGGCACAGGGAAGCCAAAAGATTGGACACCCCTGTTTTAGAGTTTAAAAAATACTATAAGGAATCATACAGTGTGTACTTTTTTGGTGGTCTGACCCCTTTCATTCAGCATAATTATTCTGAGACATTTCCATGCTATTACTTGTAACAATAGGTAATTCCTTTTTATTCCCGAGTAGTATTCTTTTGTAGGTACATGCTACAATTTGCTTATCCACTCACCTGTTAATATACATTTGTGTTGTTTGCAGTTTGGAGCTATTAAATAAAAATAAAGCTGCTATTCAAATACAAGTCTTTATATGGCTATATTATTTTCTTTATCTTGGGTGAATTACTAGGAGTAGAATGGCTGGGTCATAGGGTAGATCCTTGCTTAACTTTGTAAGAAATTGCCAAACTGTTTTCCAAAGTGGTTGTACATTTTACATTCCCACTACCAGTGTATGAGAGTGTCAGGTGTTCCAGATCCTCGCCAATACTTGCTGTGGTCATTATTTTTAGTTTGAATCATTCTAATAGATATGTAACAATTTCTCACTGTGGCTTTAATTTGCATTTTCCTAATGATTAAAGATGTTGATCATCATTTAATGTACTTATTTACCATTTATATGTTCTTTGATGAAATATCTAGTTAGACCTTTTGCTCATTTTTAAACTGAGTTTTTAAAAAAATTATTGAGTTTTGAGAGGTTCTTATATATTCTCAAGCCCTTTATCGGATACATGCTTTGCAAGCCTTTTTCTCTCAGTTTGTGACTTGTCTTTTCATATCATTAATAGTGTTTTTGAATTGTTTTTATTTTTGATAAAGTCCAGTTAACCAATCTTTTCTTTTACTGATTGTGCTTTTTTCCTACTACCTAAAAACTTTTGCCCTAATCCAGTGTCACAAAGAGTTTTCTTTTTTTCCTTACAAGTTTTGTAGTTTCAGACTATATTTAGGTCTATGATCTATTTTTAGTTACTTGTAACTGGTGCCAGATATGTATTGAAGGTTTTTGTTTTGATTTTTTTCCATATGGATATCCAGTTTTATCAGAACTTTTCTTAATAACTGTTCTTTTCTCTCTGAATTACCTTTGCATTTTTATCAGATTTCAGTTGTTTGTATGTATGTAGGTCTAGTCCTGTACTTTCCATTGATCTATTTGTGTATCTTGATTTTAATACTACACAGCTTTGATTACTGAAGCATTATAACAAGTCTTGAAACCAGATAGTCCTAGCTATTTTGCATTGTTCTTTTTCAAAGTAATTTTGGCTATTATATAGGTTCTTTGCATTTCCATATGAATTTTAGAAATTAGCTTGTTAAGTATTACAGAAAAAACTTGCCAAGATTTTGGTTGAAATTGCATGGAATCTATAGCTCATTTTGGGAAATTTTGATATCTTAATAAAAGTTTTCTCTTAAAAAGTCTTTTTAAATTAATACAGGTCTTTTAAATGTCTCAGCATAGTTTTCAGTAATCAAGTCTTTAATTAGATTTGCCTTTGAGTATTATATTTTTATGCCTATATAATGTTATTTTAACATTTCAATTTCTTGTTGATTGTTGTTAACATGTAAAAATACAATTAATGGTAGATCCTGTTGAATTTTCCACATAGACTAACACACTTTTATTTTTTGCTTTCCAATCTGGATGCCCTTTCTTTTTTACTTGCTTTTTCTTTTCTTTTCTTTCCTTTTGTTTTTTGCTGGATTGCTTTGGCCAGAACCTCCACTATGATGTTGACTAAAAGCAGAAAAAGCAAACATCTTGTGTTGTCCGTGGTCTTAGGGGAGAAGTATCCACTTTTTTTCACCATTAAGTGTCATGTTACTGTAGGTTTTTCATAGATGTTCTTAATCTAGTTGAGAAAGTTCCCTTATACTTTGCTGCATTTTTTTTTTCTAAATAGGAATGGATGTTTTGTCAAAGGCTTTTTCTGTCTCTGTTGATAATGTTTATATGGTTTTTCGTTTTTAGTTTGCAAATGTAGTGAATGACATTTGATTTTTAAATGTTAAACCAATCCAACATTTGCAAACTAAGCGCCAGTTTTTTTCACAATGTAGTATCCATTTATGTATTGCTGGATTTAATTTACTAATATTTTGCTAATGAGATTTGTATCTAGATTCATAGAATATCAATAGTTTTCTAGTAAAATCTTTGCATTAGTATCAGTGTAATACTGGCCTCAAATAATGGATTGGGGAAATACTCCTTCTTCGGTTTTTTGGCAGTTTGTATAGAATTGGTATTATTCCTTCCTAAGTGTTTTGTAGAATTTACCAGTGAAGCCATCTGTGCCTTTGAGATTTTTATAACTACAAATTCATTTCTTTAATAAATATACAGATTTTCAGGTTGTTCTTGTGCTTTCGTAATTTGTCTCTTTCAGGGAAGTTGTCCATTTCATCTTACTTGTCAAGTAAATTTGGGCACAAAGATATTGGTAATAGTTCTCTAGTATCCTTTTATCTAATATCAGCTGACTAATAATGTCAACCTTCTTGTTTATGATATTGACAAAATTCTGTTATTAAGGACACATGTTTTAGATGTTTATGTACTTTTTATTGATTAACCCTATTATCACTCTGAAATGACCACTTTTATACCTGGTAATGTTAGTTTCACTATAATCTGTCTAACATTGAAATAGTCACTTCAACTTTCTTGTGATTAGTGCTAGCATAGTATATTTTTTCCTATTCTTTTACTTTTAAGCTATTTGTGTCCTTATATTGAAATGCTTTTCTTGGTGGCAGGATGGCGGGGGGGTCTTCCTTTCTTATCCAATCTAACAATCTCTGCCTTTCTATTGGAATACTACACCATTTGCATTATTGAGATTTATTGATAATGGTTAGATTCAGGTCTGTCATCTTATTTGTTTTGACTTGTCCCATCTCTTATTTGTTCCCTTTTCTTTGTTTCCTGCTGCCTTTTCAATTGAGTAGTTTTTATCCCCTTCTTGTTTTATTGGTTATGACCAGCCCTTGCCCCTCAGAATTTATGACTTAATAGACTTACTAGAGGTAGTCCCAGGTACTGGCATTTCTTTAATAGATGCCCAGATTTGTGAACCACTGGACTAAATGAGCTCCGTCGTAACTTTCAACTTAATAGCTGTGTGACTTTGGTCTTGTTATTTGACCTCTCTTAATTCAATTTCCTCATCTATAAAATGGATATAAGAAAATATATTCATCTACAAGTAAAAATATTTAAAATATTTTAAATAGTATTATGTTCATGTGGTTCAAACTTTAAAAGGTACACAAAGATTTAATATATACTATTTTGTACTTTTTTGATTTTTTTGAATTATAAATTTTTGTATTAATAGATTTAGGTAAAATTATTTTCAAAAAACACTTGGAATGAAGAGTTTTTTCTTTATAGCCATTTAAAACTCAAAACCTGGTTTTTGAATTGTTAATATGATTTAAGTTACAATTTTTAAATTTACAATGTTATGTTTATAGTGCCTAGAGAAAAATACAAAATATTTTAGATTTTTCTTAGTTCATAATAGGACTTTTAAGGACAGGAGTATGACTTTTCAAATCAATTTAATGTATTTTTTTGTTTTGTGCCTTTTCCACAGGTTTTGATTCTCATCATGGCCATCACCCAGTTTCGGTTATTTAAAGTTTGTACTTGCCTAGCAACAGTATTCTCGTTCCTAAAGAGATTAATATGCAGGTAAATAAGTTTTATGTTCAAACTGATCTGTTTATCTCCTCACTGGTTTTGGATACCTTCAAAACTTCAGATTTCATGGACAGGACATATTATATTTAAGTTGAATATCTTGATTGCAGTATTTATTCATTAATTCCTAGTCATCTTAAAATACTTTTCCTCTACTTCAGATTTAGAAAGTAGAGGTTCATTTGTTTTTGTTCATTCAAATTCTTACACCTTTCACTAAAATTACTTGCTTAATACTATTTAGAAATAGACCAACTTTGATTATTATAATCCTCACAGAACTTTGATATATTTAATTATTTCATTATGAGAATGTTTTAAAGTCCTTAGGTGAAATTAGGAATAGGTATTTCTGTCTATACCACAATAGTGTTGTTTTTATATTTAAAAAAAAAAGAGAAATCCTAAAAAAAACAACAAAAATTTATTTTGTCTGTTTAAATAACATTCTAGAATATGCATATAGTCAAGGGCTGGTAAGTCATTTGCTTTAGGACATCATCTGTAAACTCAGTTCCTTCTGTTTTGTCACATGATCATACTCAAGAGCTATGATTTCTAAAATGTGTGCTGAGGCACCTCAGGGCTTTACATGAAATTCACAGGGATGCCATAGAATATTTTAAATTTTCCAGTGAAACATAGTGATAGCATCTATTGGATACCTCAACTCAAAGTAGTTCACATTTGCAACATTAAATCCTGCAGTATTTTTGTGCGATGACGATATTGAATATTTGAGATAAGTTTTTGTTTACTTAAATTTTTGGTGACGTCTCTGCAAAGCCAGGATTTTAGGTTGTAATTAAAAGCAAGTACTGCACCAAAATTAATATAGAACCAAAAACAAGAATGATGGTCTTCTCTCTTATTCTAAGGCTTAAGAAACTGTACAGGGTTCAATAGGCACACATTTTATTAATAAGTACAGTGATTGTGGTTATTTTAGAATAAAATAAAAATATTGCTTTTTCTTTAAATATGTGTTTTTTTACAGTGGCTACTAAGCAGTTAGGAGATACATGAGTATTAAGTTTTTTGGGCTACCTTATTCAGTGGAATTGTTAGGTGTTTCTTTTGGCCTAAGACTCCTGTGAAGGAGGGTGTAGTAAAAGAGGAAATGGACAGCAATCAGCTCTTTTTTTTTTTTTTTATAGACATGATTTAGAAGTTGCACACAACAATTTTGTTCACTGCCTGCTTTCCAGAGCTTAGACATATGGCCCCCTAGCCACAAGGAAGGATGGGAACTTCAGTCTCTGGCTAAATGGCCATTTGAAAGCTGCTAAAACTCTTGAGACTTAAGTGCCATTGAATTTACTGCTAGAAGTAGAGTGGTCTGGGATTAAAAAACAAAAAAAGTCTAAGGTATTGCCAGAGAATAAGTGGGCGAAATAGAGTAGAGATGATAATTGGAACAGGAGAAGTCAAGAAAGAAATGGAAAATTTAAGTGGTTGACTTGAAATCACCCAAGAGGATAGGATTTGGGAAGTAGAAAAAATAGTGAACTAAGTGTTCAGATTACCAGAGAATGAGGAGGATAATGGCCAGAAATTCACCAGATAAAGCAAGATTAAAAATGAGTGTTAATTGCCAGAAAGCAGGAAGTTAGAAGGATTGTGTTAACAGTGGTTCTGAATTATGGATGTTTTCTTTTTGTACTTCTATTTTTTTAAATATTGGTTAAATATAGATTACTTTTAGGGTAAGAAATTTTGTTGATTTTAAAAATATTAAGGACATTCCTATTGTCACTATAACTTTCTATTGTAAATGTATATATATTTAGAATTGATTGTTCAGTTTTAAAGAAAACTGACCCTATGTTAGGATAAGCCTCTCTTTGGTGTCTGAAGGACCCTTAGATGATGTGTTTTAAAACACCAGGCTTGACCAGGCGTGGTAGCTCACACTTGTAATCCCAATGCCTTGGGAGGCCAAGATGGGAGGATAGCTTTAGGCCAGGAGTTCAAGACCAGCCTGGGCAACACAACAAGACCCCATCTCTACCAAAAGATAAAACAGGCTATGTTATTAATTTCATAAGAGACTATATTATGTTTCTATTAACTCTTTAAACAAATATAGTTTCCAATGTGTAATAAAAATAGTTGACTTTATAAATTACTTCTTAGTCATGCTTTATGGATTATTTGAAGTGAAGTAAAGTAAATGACTAATCATCTCCACTACCTGCTATTTTTGTATGTTTTGCTATATAGCAGGCACACACTGTCTAGGAGTTTTAAATATGTCTCGTAATTAAATCCAAACAACCCAGCAAAACTAGGTTTGAATACCTGCATTTTATAGATGAGCCTGTTGAGGCTGAGCAGTAGATAATTCTAACTGGACAAAATAGAAGTAACATTGAAAACTGTAGTTGACACAGATTCCACAGCCCATGTTCTTAACAACTGAGTTATAGTATATCCTGTTTAATGTGGTGCTTTTCCTAATAATCCTTAAAACTAAGTTACCATTTGGTTCAAACCAGTGATTTTTAAACTTCTTAATAGTTAATCTTACCAGGAAACCCCATGTGTAAAACATAAAAGCCAACCTACCCTGTTTAAAGCAGCAAAGGTGGCCCAGAACTTTACCCACAGAACCCATTGCACTCCAAGGAGCATGCTCTGAAACCACCTTGCATTTTTGTTTTTGACTTTATATTCTTCCTGAGTTTATTTGTAATTCTGAATCCTAAGGCAAAAAGCAGTTATGCTGTTCTGTCCAAGATTGAAAAAACATTCACAAAATGTCTGATTCATGACTTTTTTTAAACCATAAATTAATGAGTAACTCTTAATTATTAAAATCAATTAAATTACTATACATAGTGCTTTTACTTTGCTTATTTTGGTAGTTCTTGAAATAAATTATTTCATTTTTGTTTCAGATCTGGCAGAGGACGGAAATTAAGTGGAGACCAAATAACTTTGCCAACTACAGTTGATTATTCATCAGTTCCTAAGCAGGTAGTGTTTTTGTTGTTGTTGTTGTTTGTGAAAGATTAAATAAGTGTCTGTTCCAGAACAATATTTTTAAAACTGGATTGCAAATCATTAGTAGACTATAAAATTAGTTCGATTTTTGTTGCTGTTGCTAAATTTTTTTGGTCCCAAAATTCTATTTGGTTCTTCATTTTATCTTCTGTTTCTTTGCTGACATTTTCTATTTTGTTTTCATTGGTTTCATGTTTTTCCTATTACTTGTTGGAACATTTTTATAGTAGCTGTTTTAAAGCCTTAGATAATTCCAACATATCATTTTGAGATTGGTATCTGTTGATTAACTTGCCATGAATTGAGATTTATTGATTTTTATATGCTGAATAATTCTGGGTTGTTTCATAAACATTTTGAATACTATCTTTTGAGACTTTGCCTTATTTAAATCCTGTGGAGAAGCTTGGTATTTTTTATCAATCAATCTGGTTAGACTTAGATGAAAAGTTCCAGTTCTTCTTTTGTGGGTTTTAATGTCAATTCAGTTTTTAGAGCATTTGCTTTTGTTTTACTTTATTTTTTGTTTTTTAATGGACAGAATAAATAGAATATATCAGAATGTCTAGTATTTTTTGAACTTTTGATCAAGTTTTGATATGTGATATAAAATGTATATTTTCCTGTGGGTCAAAAAAGTGTGAAAACCAGTGTTTTAGAAAGCCCATTTTTCTAAAAAATCATCAATGAGATCTTCATTAGGTTACCCCTTTGTGGCTGATAGTGTTGATCAATTAAATTTAGACAGATGTTGAAGAGTGGACTTCGTGGGATGAAGATGCACCCACAAGTGTAAAGATCGAAGGAGGAAATGGGAATGTGGCAACACAACAAAACACTTTGGAACAACTGGAACCTGACTATTTTAAGGACATGACACCAACTATTAGGAAAACTCAGAAAGTATGTTAAAGATTTATGGTTTTGAAGATTAAACTACTTTTCAGATTCCTATAGTTAAAATTAGATGATATAATTCACATTTATTAGAAAGCATATTTCTAATTATCAATTGTTTGGTTTTTGTCATGTTAAGAATTTTATATGCTGAAGTGATCTAGACACAGTTATTGTAAGCTGTACCCCAAGTCTTTTAAAATTATATCTATACTTGTATTGAAATCCTACTACAGGTCAGATTCTAGACTCCAATCTCTGCCAAGGAGACTAAGGTGAATTGGTTAAGATTCCTAACAAGTTCATACTTTAGTAATATCTACAAACTGATAAAGAGATTTTATTGTTTGTAACCATTATAAAACTGATGCAGGACTCTGAGAACTTAAGAGTAATTGTGAGTTTGTATTAGTCATCCATACATTATTTAATCCCTTTTGAAGTGAATATGTAAGATCACCTATAGATACAGGGAATTAATGAAAAAACCAAAATGCTTGAGTATTTTCCTTTTCTATTTATCAAAATAGTACATGTACTTTTTTTAAATCAAAAAACGTAGAAGGGATTATGACTTCTGATCCATCTCTTTTCTTAGCCAGTTCTACTTCCCAGAAGCAGCCACTCAATAATTTTCTGTTTGGATTTCTTCTAGTGTTTGTCATTGTATCTATCTATAATATGGTTATATTGCCATTTCTTGTTTACCAGTAACAGATACTGTCCATTGACATTCATACTATGGTAAATGAAGACTTACTTCATACTACCCTTCCTGTTCTTCTTTCTCCTTTATTACAGTCTACCTCATTAGTCACTCTTCTGTATCAGAAAAACACACTTAAAGCTCACTTTCTTGTTCAAACATAGAAAATATTTATATTATATATCTTAAACATATAGATGGATAGATGCACTTTTTAAAATTAAGACATTATTTATTTCACACTTTCCAATACAGTTGTTCCTCACCTTATTCCTCTCAGCTAATTTCAGCTGTACATTTATATTTACATTGTCTAGGTTGATAACATTTACATTCTTTTTGGTTGAGTTGTCCAAATGTCTCAATGCTAAAACACATTAAATTGTATTTTTTTAAAGGATCCTTTAAGTGAGTTTCTTAGTAGATGAATACCTTGTATTGTGTAAGTATAATGCTGCTTTCAGTAGGCACCTAGTAAATTACTGAGTGCCTTATTAAATAAATTAGAGTGGCAATGCTTTGAATAAGGCTACCAACGTATCATAGAAGTGTATTTGATGCTACTGGCCTGAATGAATTAATGTATTCATAGATATTTCATATGCTGAGAGAGTTATTTATACTTTTGACAGGATATGATACCTGTTCTTGTTTAATATAGTAACTAAAAGCCGGGCGCGGTGGCTCAAGCCTGTAATCCCAGCACTTTGGGAGGCTGAGGCGGGTGGATCACAAGGTCGAGAGATCGAGACCAACCTGGTCAACATGGTGAAACCCCGTCTCTACTAAAAATACAAAAAAAAAAAAAAATTAGCTGGGCATGGTGGCGCGTGCCTGTAATCCCAGCTACTCAGGAGGCTGAGGCAGGAGAATTGCCTGAACCCAGGAGGCGGAGGTTGCGGTGAGCCGAGATCGCGCCATTGCACTCCAGCCTGGGTAACAAGAGCGAAACTCCGTCTCAAAAAAAAAAAAAAAAAATAGTAACTAAAAGTGATTAATTATATTTTGGGGTCTGAGGAAAGTAGGAGAGAAAGAAAATGAGACTATATTAATTTTTAAAAGTGAAATACAGTTTTTTTAGTATGTAACTGATTGGTGCAACAATTGCCTGAGTAATTGGTAATAACACTTTTTTTTTAGTTTTTACATTGTAAATTTTAAAAATAAATATTTTAAGCAATTACAAAATGTTTTGGTTGCCTGTTTTAATGTAGTGATTTGTAAAATATCCCTATAATTCTTTTTCAATTAATCTTTCAGATTGTTATTAAGAAGAGAGAACCACTGAATTTTGGCGTTCCGGATGGGAGCACAGGTTTTTCTAGTAGATTAGCAGCTACGCAAGATATGCCTTTTATTCATCAGTCTGTAAGTATGTTAATGGTTCTAGGGAAAGGCTTGGTTTTGTTTCTGTTTTCTTTAAAGCAGAGGAATAAAATCTAAATGAGTTTAACATAGTATTTACATTTTTGTAACTTTAAAACAGGTTTAGCAGTTCGAGAGAAGTTAATCTGGAGTTTTACCCATCCTCCCTTTTTATAAGATTGTAAATTACATTAGATACTAAGATCAAGGTCTCATTGTACACATGAAAGAGAGAGGCACAATGTTATTTAAAAATATAAACATCAGAGAGATTACCATTAAAATGAGAGATTAATCCTAGATTATTTTAAAGTAAGTTATGAATTGTTTTCTTTATAGAATGTATTTTCATTTAAAGTATGACAATTTTAAATGGTTTGACTTAAATGAAACTTTTTAAAGGAAAAATTTTGGAAAGAAGTAGACAGCTGAGGTTCTCAATCTTGGGAGCATATCAGAATCAGCTTTGGAAGTTTTTTAAAAGCACAGGTGTCTAGACCCCTCCCTATCTAAGCTTTAAGCATGCTTTGGTTCATTGATTATATTATCTATTGTTGTGTAACAACTCCAAATTTAGTGACTTGAAATAATAACAAACATAATGTTACACAGTTTCTGTGGATTGGGAATCCAGGTGACAAAACTGGGTGGTTCTAGCTCAGACTTTCTCATGTGTTTGTAGACAAGTTATTGGGTTGGGGCTACAATCATCTTAAGGCTTGACTATGGTCAAAGGATTCATTTCAAAGACAGCTCACTTCCACACCTGACAGATTAATGTCTTTTGTTTGCACAAAGCGTCAATTCCTTGCTGTGCGCCTCTCCAAGGAGCTACTTGAATTTCTTTATGACATAACTGCTGATTTTCCCAGTAAGTTATAAGAGAGAGAATGAGATTACTTGCTCAGGGTGACACCACAATGCCATTTTGTGATGTGGTTTTATAAGTGATACACTGTCACTTTCACATTATTTTATTAGAAGCCAGTCACTAAATTCGGCCCACACGCAAGCCTGCACCTCTTGAAGGAAAGAGTGTCTAAGAATTTGTGGACATATTTTTAAATCACATCTATCTATCAATCTATATATTTTATTTATTTGTTTAAACTGCACAGGTGCTTCTGAGGTCCCTCTCCCCAGCGGACCCATGTATATGTATGTTTTTAATTCATTGATCAACAAACGCTTTTTACTACAGCCAGGCCCTGTGGCATTAGTTAAAGGATCTTTACCTCAGAAAAATGCATTCTAGTAGGGGAGACGTGATACTAAATAAATGATCACACACATCAATATAATTACAAACTTTGACAATTCCTATGCAGTTACATGATGCTATGAACACATAACACCACAGATACTTCTCTGAATAACATAGCATAATGTTTAATTTTTTATTTTATATATCTCAAAATTAAACTTTATTCATATATTTGATCTATATTGGTAAAGTGCTTCATTCCTACTCACTGAATTAGCAGTATTTGCCACCTAACTATAATTATAATACTAACATAGCCCATTGTAAAGTTGTAAATATACAACTACTTACAGAGTTGAGAAGGGGTGAATAGGATAGATGGAGAATGTCTGCAGTGCTCTTTCCACATATTTTCCTCCCAAATGACAGAATAAAGGGGCATTGCATAGGAGTAGATGGTAACCTCCTGTTTGTTTTCTTTTTTATTTTTTTAATTGTACTTTAGGTTCTGGGGTACATGTGCAGATCATGCAGGATTGTGGCATAGTTACATATGTGGCAAGGTGGTTTACTGCCTTCATCCCCCCATCACCTGTATCTGGTATTTCTCCCCACGTTATCCCACCTCATCCCCCACTGTCCCTCCCTTAGCACCCCCCAACTGACTACAGTGTGTGATGCTCCTCACCCTGTGTCCACATGTTCTCATTGTTCAACACCTGCCTATGAGTGGGAACATGTGGTGTTTGGTTTTCTGTTCTTGTGTCAGTTTGCTGAGAATGATGGTTTCCAGATTCATCCGTGTCCTATGAAGGGCACAAACTCATCCTTTTTTATGGCTGCATAGTATTTCATGGTGTATATGTGCCACATTTTTTTTATCCACTCTATCATTGATGGACATTTGGGTTGGTTCCAAGTCTTTGCTATTGTAAACAGTGCCTCAATGAACATACATGTGCATGTGACTTTATACTAGAACAATTTATAATTCTTGGGTATATACCCAGTAATGGGATTGCTGAGTCAAATGATATTCCTGTTTCTGGGTCCTTGAGGAATCGCCACACTGTCTTCCACAGTGGTTGCAGTAATTTACACTCCCACCAACAGTGTTAAAGTGTTGCCATTTCTCCACATCGTCTCCAGCATAATGATCGCCATTCTAACTGGTATGAGATGGTATCTCAATGTGGTTTTGATTTGCATTTTTCTAATGACCAGTGATGATGAGCATTTTTTCATATGTTTGTTGGCCTCATAAATGTCTTCTTTAGAAAAATGTCTGTTCATATCTTTCACCCACTTTTGAATGAGTTTGTTTGTTTCTTGTAAATCTGCTTTAGTTCTTTGTAGATTCTGGATATTAGCCATGTGTCAGATGGGTAGATTGCAAAAATTTTTTCCTATTCTATTGGTTGCTGGTTCACTCTGATGATTGTTTCTTTTGCTGTGCAAAAACTCTTTAGTTTAATTAGATCCTATTTGTCTATTTTGGCTTTTGTTGCCATTGTTTTTGGTGTTTTAGTTGTGAAGTCATTGCCTATGCCTATGTCCTGTATGGTTTTGCCTAAGTTTTCTTCTAGGGTTTTTATGGTGTTAGGTCTTATGTTTAGATCTTTAATCCATCTGGAGTTAATTTTAGTGTAAAGTCTAAGGAATAGGTTCAGTTTCAGCTTTCTGTACATGGCTAGCCAGTTTTCCCAGCACCATTTGTTAAACAGGGAATCTTTTTCCCATTGCTTGTTTTTGTGAGGTTTGTCAAAGATCAGATGGTTGTAGATGTGTGGTGTTACTTCTGAGGCCTCTGTTCTGTTCTATTGGTCTATATCTCTGTTTTGATACCAGTGCCATGCTGTTTTGATTACTGTAGTCTTGTAGTATAGTTCGAAGTCAGGTAGCATAACACATCCAGCTTTGTTCTTTTTGCTTAGCATTGTCTTGGCTATGTGGGGTCTTTTGTGATTGCATATGAAGTTTAAAGTGTTTTTTTCCAGTTCTGTGAAGAAGGTCAGTGGTTGTTTCAGTAGCTTTAAAAATACTCCTTTACTTTCAGAAAGGTATATTAAATAATCAGAAATATTTTAAGAATTTTTAGTAGAGTATGGTGTTCATATATTGTCAGGAATGAAAACTTTATATGGGTATTTGTTTAAAACAGTATAATATTAAATAAATCTGTTCACAGATTTGTAAGATTAGTACCAGTTATTTTATACACAGTCACTTCCACACCTACCTAAACAGTCGAGCATGACCATAGTCATTAGCTTTTGGAAGAAAAAGTGAACCTTTAGAGGTCTGGCTTGGGGAATAGTGAGAGGTAGTGACCAGTAGATGATGCCAGGTAAGAAAGACTGGGAAAAGGAAGCGTGACATAGAAGTATTTCAATAAAGATAAATTTTGCGTGATTTGTCATTTTTGCCTAGGATTGAGACAGTAGGTGCCAATAAAAAGTCCATAGTAAGTTACATATGCTTAAATGAATATGACTTTGCTAGTTTTTTTTTTTTTTTTTTTTTTTTTTTTTTAATGTATTGAGACAGATTTTTGCCCTTGTTGCCCAGGCTGGAGTACAATGGCGCAATCTCTGCTTATTGCAACCTTTGCTTTGTTGGTTCAAGCAATTCTGCCTCAGCTTTCCAAATAGCACCATCACATCCTGCTAATTTTTTATGTTTAGTAGAGACAGGGGTTTACCATGTTGGTCAAGCTGGTCTCGAACTCCTGACCTCAGGTAATCTACCCACCTTGGCCTCTCAAAGTGCTGGGATTACAGGCGTGAGCCACCATGCCCGTCTGACTGTGCTAGTTTTTAAACTTCAGCTTGCAGCTTGCAGTTCTTCTCAGCATAGATTAGTCCAATCAAGCATTTCTAATTCAGTCTGGGATCAGTCAGTTCCTTCTCACTCTATTGCTCCCCTCATGTTACTAAGAAGAGAAAGAAACAGAAGAAATTTTCTCTTGTTGTTCATTCCAAAGGTACAGCAAAGAAGAAAATTTAATATAAAAGAATATCTCATAAAACATAAAAGAAGAAAGCTGGACATGCCTAGGAATGTTAAGTGCTGAAAGTCATGCATCAGTTCTAGGCAGCCAAGAGCAAAATCATTTGTACTTTGTATAGGACAGGATAAGGAAGTTGAGAAGACACAGGACGTTGACAGGTCCTGAGTTACGTGTTAAGATATCCTTTTTGACGGCTGTTTGGAGAAAGGATTTTTTTTTACTCTCTGAATTTTATTTTACTTTTTATTGTAGTCTGAATTAGGTGACTTAGATACCTGGCAAGAAAATACCAATGCATGGGAAGAAGAAGAAGATGCAGCCTGGCAAGCAGAAGAAGTTCTGAGGTATTTGAGTGGCATTTATATTGCAGCCTGAGTAGAACAACTAAATTTCTTCCCTACTGTGTTTAAAGTCAAGGGAGCCTATTCTGCCAAATATTATATTTTTCTTCATTTGATTCTTAGATAATATGGACTTTTTTTGTGTTTCAGACTGCAGATACTATTTTATATGATTAAAACTTCACAGAAACCAAGAATTTTAAGCACTATAGAAACAAAAAGCTTTATTAATGGCAAATGAAATGTTATATATGCATACATATAAAAGGTTTTGTATATATATGTTTTATATATTAGGTTATATACATATACATGTGATACATACCATATTGCAAGCTTGATATGTCCTACTGTGAAATGTAGACCACCACTATATATTCTTCTAGGTCAGAAGTTACAACTTTTATTTCTATTTCCTCATGGTCTCATAGTGCCCAGCACTGCACATTCAAACCAAAATAACTTATGTGACACTCTGCATTTGTCCATATATCTTAAATGATGTCCATGAAAGCCTATGTGTTAGATAATATAAGCCACGAACTACCCATTCTACGAAAAATACTATTCTGGAAGTTTTAGTCTTTATTTTTATTGGTTGTTCTTTTTTTTGTGTGAGCAATAAACATAATTCTTAATACTGCTACATTAAGTCAGAGTAAAGAGAAGATTTAAGAGAGAGCTAGTGACTATGATTACTGAATTTAAAAACTCATATTTAAATGTATCTAAATTATGTATATATTTTTAAAATCATATAATAAAATTCAGCAATATAATTCTTTTTTATTTTAAAGTTGATTGTTTTTACCATAGGAATAGCAAACAAATTATTCTTTATCTGACTCAGCAAAAAAACTGGATTTCATTTTTGTATTTTCCTTTCTTGTCTTTGTCAATAAATTTCAGTTACCTTGAACAGCCAGCAGAGGGTGCATAGCAAATTTTTTTTTTTTTTTCCTGCTGGTTAGGGGATGTGACATTTCAAAATTCAGCCAATAAAATTGTGAAAATTTTTAACATTTAGTTTTTATTTGGTCAGTATAGCTTTTATAAAGGAAATGTTTTTAAAATTGTAAACTATGACACTTAGGATGTTGCATGGATCATCAAAAAAGGTAAGTCATCTTTTTAAACTTCTTTATTACTTTTAAAATAAATAATAGATACAGATGTCTGAGTATTTTAGGACATTTTGGGGATTCTAGTAATTATTAGTGCCATTAACCACAAAGGCAAAGGAAGGGGCTGTTCTTTTCAAATCTAGTAATCTCACTATAGGGTTCATGCCATGAGTTCACAAGTATCTTATCATTGTACAAAAACCTTTTCTTTTTCATTCCATCCTCTTACCCGCTAAACAAAACAAAACAAATGAAAAAAAATGTAGTTAAAGACTTAATGTTTCCCCTTAAAGGACAGCTTGCAAGAGTGAGATTGTTTATCCATAATAGACATGCTTCATGCTGCAAATATATAGATAGAGCCAAAGAGAGATGGAGGCAGCCATATATTGTTACTGACCCTGAGTGGACACTGAGCATTTTAAAAGTATATCTACATATCATATCTTCTAACTCTGAGCTTTTTTTCTATTGCCACTATAAAATACTGCCAGACTGCTATCAGTATTGCTAAGGAAGAAGATTCCGGTACTTTAATAATTCCCAACATGAAACTGGATAGGTAAAATATATTTTTGTCTGTAGCCATCTCTTAAATTGTCTCTTTTGCCAGGAACTTTAGTTTTTGATCCGGATTGAGTATCCCTTTCCAAAATGCTTGGGACCAGAGTGTTTCAGATTTTGAAATTTTTGAGAGTTTAGAATATTTGTGTTATACCACTGGTTGATCATTCCAAATATGAAAACCTAAAATCTGAAATGCTCCAGTGAGAATTTCCTTTGAGCATCATGTGGGCACTCAAAAAGTTTCAGAGTTTGGAGCATTTCAGATTTCAGATTTTTGTGTTTGTGATCCTCAGCTCTTATATTAGTTCAGCTAGTAACCAGGTCAAAGCTTCATTATCTTACTTTTTTATAACCTAGCTAGCCCTTTATAGTTTTTTTTTTTCCTACCTCTCTTTTTCTTCTGGTTTGACATTTTTTAGTTCAGATTATTAGTTTTTCTTGAAAGTGATCAGAGTGATGAAAAATAGATTTTTTTAAAACTATTCTTCAGAAATTAATTGATAACAAAAGTCAAAATATTGCCAAAAATAGGTTTTCACTTTCTTGAATTTTAGTCATCCATAACTCTGCCTGCTCCTGGTTATAATTATGATTGAGAGCTGTACATACATTTCACTCATTGTAGTCAGCATTGAACTTCCCAGACATAGATAATCCACTCTGGATTTTTCTTCATATAACCTAATGTTGCCTATTCCATGTCCAGTTGTGACCTGTAACTTCCTTCCTCAACATTGCATACCTGAATGATTTTCTCACACCCTAACCCTTCAGATCCAGGACCAACTTATGTTCACTCTGCTCTCTCCATTCCTACCTCCACTCCCTACATCAATCAATCAATAAAGATAGAGTGAGTCTGGGTCAGTGGAGTTATGGAAAGTGTAAGGAAGAGATAGGTATTTAACAAAGTATAATTAGTAAATACCTACCACTCTTTTTTTAAAAAAACTTTTAAGTTTAGGGGTGCAAGTGGAGGATGTGCAGGTTTGTTACTTAGGTAAATGTGTCAAGGGGGTTTGTCATACAGATTATTTCATCAGCCAGGCATTAAACCTAGTATTCATTAGTTGTTTTTCCCGATCCTCTCTCTTCGTCTAATCTCCACCATTCCAGTAGGACCAGTTTGCATTCTTCTCCTCTATGTGTCCTTGTGTTCTTATCATTTAGCTCCCACTTATAAGTGAGCACATGCTGTATTTGGTTAAATACCCACCACTCTTCTCCTTGGTAGAGCTAGTCACATATTAATCTTGAAATTTGTTTTTAGCTTCTAGGTAGAAGGTGTATCTTAAGTTTTCATTTTCTTTTTTGGAGTGTGTGTCTTGTTCAGCTGTGTTCATCATGCACTTTACAAACTGGCTGTTTATAACTACTATAATAACAGGAGATTATCAAGCTCAGTATCAGTCTTTTCTGAACAGTATCCCCGGAAAACGATGTGGTTCAGTTGAAGTACTGTTTTATGAAATGGAGATAATCTGAATAAGAGGTGTCAGAAAATGTGTGTTCGTATCTCTGTACTTAATCCTATGACTTTGGGCAAGTCACTTAACCTTTATGCTTCATTTTACTTATTTGTTAAATACAGATAATAATTTATTCTATTTCACAAGTCATGTTCTAAGGATTGAGAGAAATACTGTTTTTGAAAATATTTGGAATTTTTATATTAGAAGATTTCAAGACATTCAATGTTTTATTTGGTGGTAGTAAAAAGGCACTGCTGTTTCTTTCTAGAATTTATTTGCCATTATTTTCTAAAAGTAAAAATCTAAGTATTTCTTTTCAGGCAGCAGAAAATAGCAGACAGAGAAAAGAGAGCAGCAGAACAACAAAGGAAGAAAATGGAAAAGGAAGCACAGCGGCTAATGAAGAAGGAACAAAACAAAATTGGTGTGAAACTTTCATAACACATGTTCTTCAGATTTTATCATGCCAGTAGGAGAAATCTCAGCTCCACAACCCAAGCAACATTTGTATGGATTTAAGAGTATTTTAAGAGTATACACTGCTTGATTTTAATACATTCATCAGGCCATCCAGGACACCAGGATTCTCCCAAATTACCTTGAACTCTTGGTGATTGAGACTCAAAAAAATGAAAGACTTAAGGCAATATTTTCTTCAACATGCTCCAAATATAAGACATTTGTTTGCTGTACAGAAAGTATCAAAAATGGAATATATCAGTACCTCTCAAGCTAGTATTTCTAGCTAAATAAATGGTGTATATAATTTTATGGTGGAAAAGAACTGTGCTATCTGTTATGATTTCCTTCAGTATGCATAATGATAAAATAAATAATTTTAATATTCTTTTGTTTCCATGGTACCTGACCTAAATTAGACAAATTGTAGGGCTTTAACTTTATTTTTTTGGTCAAAATTGTTGTTGACATATATTTCCTCTAATTTGAACTGGTGTTGTTTACATTTATATAACATTAAGGGATTCGTGATTTCATTTCATGAAAATGACATTAAATGCAATAATTTTATTTATCATAAAGATTTTGCACATCATTGTTTTCTTTTGGATGGTGGTGTAATGTCATACATACTTGTAATTTATATCGCATGTATAAACATTGAAAATCAACTAAAATGACATTTGTTTTACATTATAACTTGTGAGTTTTAAGAACTAGTATTAATAGTTTTTTCCTTTCATTATAGATATTAAGATGTGGTATCCTTGAGTACTTTAGTTCTTCCTCCCTCCAAAAAGCCATTAATTTACAAATGCATAAAGCCATCAGGTCAAATATTTCAAAGCATTTAAATGATTTCGGTATTAGTTTGATATGTCTGACATTATGCAGGTTACCTGTGTTACTGGCTAAGATAATGTTATTGATTCATTAAATTATAAACAAAGGTAGGAATAATATTTTTTTATTTATGGCATTGTTTGGCTCCAAAACAGTCTTAAGGAAATAGTTAAATACTTTGTTTATAGGGGAAGAAAATATAGACTTGATAGTTTAAAATCCCATTGACCTTTTCACTGCAACTGAATTGCATCCAGCCTGATTTTCCTATCATCTTAGAATTTTTAAAGATTTTTTTGTTAAATTTATTTTACTTTAGGTACATACTATATCTGGCATTTCTCCCCATGTTATCCCTCCCTCCCCTCCCTTCCCTCCCTACCCCCCATTGTCTCTCCCCTACTCCCCTCAACTGTCCCCTGTGTGTGATGCTCCTCTCTCTGAGTCCACATGTTCTCGTTGTTCAACACCTACTTATGAGTGAGAACATAACAGTGCTTGGCTTTCTGTTCTTGGGTCAGTTTGCTGAGAATCATGGTTTCCAGATTCATCCAAGTCCCTACAAAGGACACAAACTCATCGTTTTTTATGGCTGTGTAGTATTCCATGATGTATATGTACCACATTTTCTGTGTCCAGTCTATCATTGATGGGCATTTGGGTTGATTCCAGGTCTTTGCTGTTGTACATAGGGCTGCAATGAACATACGTGTGCATGTGTCTTTATAGTAGAACGATTTATAGTTCTTTGGATATATACCCAATAGTGGGATTGCTGGGTCCCACTGGGAATTTCTATTTCCAGATCCTTGAGAAATTGCCACACTGTCCTCTACAATGGTTGAACAAATTTACACTCTCACCAACTGTATAACTCTCCAGCATCTGTTGTCTCCAGATTTTTTTAATGATTACCATTCTAACTGGTGTGAGATGATATCTCTGTGGTTTTGATTTGCATTTTTCTAATGACCAGCGATGAGCATTTTTTCATATGTTTGTTCACCTCATATATGTCCTCTTTTGAAAAGTGTCTGTTCATATCCTTTGCCCACTTTTGAATGGGGCCGTTTGTTTTTTTCTTGTAAATCTGTTTTAGTGTTTTGTAGATTCTGGATATTAGCCCTTTGTCAGATGGGTAGATTGCAAAAATTTCTTCTCATTCTGTTGGTTGCCAGTTCACTCTAATGATGGTTTCTTTTGCTGAACAGAAGCTCTGGAGTTTAATTAAATCCCATTTGTCTATCCTGGCTTTTATTGCCATTGCTTTTAGTGTTTTAGTCATGAAGTCCTTGCCTATGCCTATGTCCTGGTTAGTTTTACCTACATTTTCTTCTAGTGTTTTGATGGTGTTAGGTTTTATGTTTAAATCTTTGATCCACCTGGAGTTAATTTTAGTGTAAGGTGACAGGTAGGGGTCCAGTTTCTGCTTTCTGCACATTGCCAGCCAGTTTTCCCAACACCATTTATTAAACACAGAGTCCTTTCCCCATTGCTTGTGTTTGCTGGGTTTGTCAAAGATCAGATGGTTGTAGATGTCTGGTGTTACTTCTGGAGTCTCTGTTCTGTTGCATTGGTCTATATCTCTGTTTTGGTACCAGTACCATGCTGTTTTTATTACTGTAGCCTTGTAGTATAGTTTGAAGTCAGGTAGCATGATGCCTCCAGCTTTGTTCTTTTTGTCTAGGATTGTCTTGGCTATGTGGAGTCTTTTGTGATTCCATATGAAGTTTAAAGTGTTTTTTTCCAGTTCTGTGAAGAAGGTCATTGGTAGCTTGATGGGGATAGCATTGAATCTATAGATTACTTTGGGTAGTATGGCCATTTTCACAATATTGATTCTTCCTAACCATGAGCATGGAATGTTTCTCCATCTGTTTATGTCCTCTCTTATTTCATTAAGCAGTGGTTTGTAGTTCTCCTTGAAGGTCCTTTACATCATTTGTTAGTTTTATTCCTAAGTATTTTTTTCTCTTTGTAGCAATTGTGAATGGGAGTTCGCTCTTGATTTGGCTCTCTGTTTGTCTGTTTTTGGTGTATAGGAATGCTTGTGATTTTTGCACGTTGATTTTGTATACTGAGACTTTGCTGAAGTTGCTTATCAGTTTGAGAAGATTTTGGGCTGAGATGATGGGGGTCTTCTAAATATACAATCATGTCATCTGCAAATAGAGACAGTTTGACTTCCTCCTTTCCTAATCGAATACCCTTTATTTTTCTTGCCTGATTGCTCTAGCTAGAACTTCCAATACTATGTTGAATAGGAGTGGTGAAAGAGGGCATCCTTATCTAGGGCCTGATTTCAAAGGGAATTCTTCCAGGTTTTGCCTGTTCAGTATAATATTGGTGGTAGGTTTGTCATTATAACTTTTATCATTTTATAATACGTTCCATCAATACCTAGTTTATTGAGAGTTTTTAGCATGAAGGGCTGTTGAATTTTATCAAAGGCCTTCTCTGCATCTATTGAGATAATCATGTGGTTTTTGTTTTTGGTTCTGTTTATATGATGGATTGCATTTATGGGTTTGCGTATGTTGAACCAGGCTTGCATCCCCAAGATGAAGCCTACTTGGTCGTGATGGATAAGCTTGATGTGCTGTTGCAATCTGTTTGCCAGTATTTTATTGAAGATTTTTGTGTCGATGTTCATCATGAATATTGGCCTGAAGTTTTCTTTTTTAGTTGAGTCTCTGCCTAGTTTTGGTATCAGGATGATGTTGGTCTCATAAAATGAGTTAGGGAGGATTCCCTCCTTTTGTATTGTTTGATACAGTTTCAGAAGGAATGGAACCAGCTCCTCTTTGTACTTCTGGTAGAATTCAGCTGTGAACTTGTCTGGACCTGGACTTTTTTTGGTTGGTAGGCTATTGATTGCTGCCTCTATCTCAGCCCTTGTTATTGGTCTGTTCAGGGCTTTAAACCAGGTTTCTTCCTGGTTTAGTTTTGGTAGAGTACAAGTGGCTAGGAATTTATCCATTTCTTCCTGGTTTACTGGTTTATGTGAGTAGAGCTGTTTGTAGTAATCTCTGATGGTAGTTTGTATTTCTGTGGGATCAGTGGCAATATCCCCTTCATCATTTTTTATTGCATCTGTTTGATTCTTCTCCCTTTTCTTTTTTATTAATCTGGTTAGCGGTCTGTCTATTTTGTTGATCTTTTCAAAAAACCAGCTCCTGGATTTATTGATTTTTTAAAGGTTTTTTTGTGTGTCTTATCTCCTTCAGTTCAGCTCTGATCTTAGTTATCTCTTGTCTTCTGCTAGCTTTTGAGTTTTTTTTTTTTTTATCTTGCTCCTCAGTTCTTTCAATTTTGATGATAGGCTGTCGATTTTAGATCTTTCCTCTCTTCTCTGGTGGGCATTTATTGCTATAAATTTCCCTCTCAACACTGCTTTAAAGGTGTCCCAGAGATTCTTGTAAGTTGTGTCTTTATTCTGGTTGGTTTCGAAGAACATCTTTATTTCTGCCTTCATTTCATTGTTTATCCAGTCAACATTCAGAAGCAAGTTGTTCAGTTTTCAAGTGGTTGTGCTGGTTTGAGTGTGTTTCTTGATCCTGAGTTCTAGTCTGATTGTGCTGTGGTCTGATAGACTGTTATGATTTCTGTTCTTTTGCATTTGCTGAGGAATGATATGTTTCCAATGATGTGGTCAACTTTAGAGTAAGTGCAATGTGGTGCTGAGAAAAATGTATATTCTGTGGATTTGGGATGGAGCGTTCTGTGTATGTCTATTAGATCCACTTGGTCCAGCTCTACATTCAAGTCCTGGATATCCTTCTTAATTTTCTGTCTCGTTGATCTGTCTAATATTGACAGTGGAGTATTGAAGTCTCCCACTATTATTGTGTGGAAGTCTAAATCTCGTTTTAGGTCATTAAGAATTTGCTTTATGTATCTGGGTGCTCCTGTGTTGGGGGCGTATATATTTAGTATAGTTAGCTCTTCCTGTTGGATTGATCCTTTTACCATTATTTAATGGCCTTCTTTATCTCTTTTGATCTTTGTTGGTTTGAAAGACTTACTTTCTTAAGATATTGCCTATAATTGACACTATATGAGACTTTAAAATGTCATAGATACTCCACAGGCCAAACATTGCTAATATATTTTACTTAAAGTGATATTTCATAGAAAAATCGTGAGTTATGCAATGAGAACCCTTTAAGCCCTTAGCCCAAGCTTCCAGACTAAATGTGATTACAGAATAAGATAAAATTTAACTTTGGTACAGAGCATTTTATAGCCCCAAATTATATTTTTCCAGTTATATTCATTAGCATTTCTGCTAATAAACTCCCAACTTAAATAGAATTGAGCTCAAAGTTTTAATAATGTATTCTCTTCTTTCTTTGTATTTATATTTAGTTGTTATGGGAATACAACATGGCTTCTCTAAATTTGAGGTTTTTAAAGGATCACCTCCTTTAGCTCAATTACTTGTATTGCTTTTCCCCAGTAGCTGAAAAGTATTTAAGTTTGCTTTGGTCAAGATTTTCAGGTGTGTGAGGTTTTTTGGCTGTTGTTTGGCTTTTTGGTTTTTGATTATTCAGAAATAAAGACTGGTTAGAAATTATAGTTAGTATGATTAATTAGGAAGAAACAGATTTTTCTTGTAGAAAGAACAGATAATTCTGGAATTTAGTTTACCTCTGTTGATGTGTAAACTAAATTCCTGTGTTAAGTTGGGTATACTATGGTCCCAAAAGTAGTCACTGAGTTAAATGCGTATGACAAA